CCGCCGATGCCGCGCATGTCACCACCAGCAGCGGCGCCGTTGGCGCCGATAGAGTCTGCGGAGTTGCTTGAGGAGCCACGGCCCAGCAGGCCGCCGCCCCCGAGGCCGGAGTGGGCCGCCAGGAGCGCGTGCGTGAGGTGGGCGCGCAGGCGGGGGGCGGCCGCCACCAGCCTGTGCGAGAAGGGGGCGGCGTGGTGCGGGGGACCGTTGAGGACGTGACAGCGAGTTGGCGGATGGGAAGGCGAAGAGGCGAGGCGTTGTTGGGAGGGCTGGCAGGGCGGGAAGGAGCGCAGTTGGGAGGAACTCCTCCCGATCCCCGCTCGTTTGCAAGCGACTTGGTTGTGCAGCGGGGAGGGCGGCGGCTGAGCCACCAGGGGCCAAGCATTGGTGCATCCAGAGGCCAGGTCTCACACCGATGCTGGGCTCAGCAGCTGCCCACCACATGCGCGCGGCCCATGCAGGAGGAAGGAAAATTCCCAGGAGCAGCGCAGCTCGTGCTTGCCGCGCGATCGTGTGCCCCCGTCTTCAGTCACCCTGCTACTTTGCACACACATACGCACGCGCGCTCACACATGCACGCGCACACACACAAGCACATGCATGCAAACACGCACCATTTCAGAATGGCCTGCAGGCGCTCCTCCTCCACCTCAAAGTCGGATATCAGGGCTGATGGGGGTTTTCAAGGGGAAGTTCAGCGTGAACAAGGGGGTTGGGGGAGGGGTGCCAAAGGTGGTCGTTCAGAGGGCTTGGTGCGGACATAGGTATTATATGCGACACTGCAGTGGTGGGCCTATTGGGAAGCAGCTGGCTCGTGCAACAGGGGCGGAGCTGCGCGGCCGGACCAGCAACAAGCCGTGGCCGAGGCACAAAGTCGATTGCGCGGCGTCCTCCTGTCGTTCGCGGTGGAGCGAGCGCCCGCGCCCGCAGCCCCGGCTCACGCGCGAGCTTGCGGTTCGCCCTCTCGCAGGCCGCCTGCAGCTCCTTCACGCCGCGCCTCCTGTGCTTCTCGATCACCCGCTCCGCGCGCCGCTGCACGCGGCCGCCGGCAAAGGGGTGCGACGCGTGGCCGCCCGCGCCGCCCACGGGCGCGGCGCCGCCCACCGCGGCGGCGCCGGCGGGGGCGAACGGCTCCTTGGTCCCGGCGGTGTCGGGGATCGACGGCGGCTGGTCCGAGGTTGCGTGGGCCGGGGCGTCAGCGGGGGCCTCGTCATCCTCGGACTCGGTGGCCGAGGCCGCGTCCTGATCTTTCTGGGTGACATCGAGATCTGAAGGTGTGAGGTTAGGCGCCATGGGCGGGCGTGAAATCAGAGGTGGGTGTATGGGTGGAAATTGTCGCAGATGCTCAATGCGATTGACAAAGTCTGCAGACGGGGTGGGATGTGTGGGATGCTGTTGGCATGAGCGGGGCATGGTGTGTGCTGGGCTGCGAGAGTGGGGGGGACCAGAGCGAGCTTGGGAGAAACATCGATGCGGCAGTGGTGGATTGGTGAGCAGCGGCAGGTTATGTGCTGGACGGCTTGGCCAGGGTGCTGCAATAGACATGAGAATGGCTCCTGAAGGCGTGAGGAACAGGCGCTTAGTGTCGGCCGTGAGATCGGTGGGCCACGGCGGTGCTGGTGCCGGTGGCCATTACGGCCTGCCCAGCTCCGCCGGGCTACCGCCATAAGGTGGACGACAATTACACTATGCAGTGGCCTGGCAGCACCCCGCGCCCTGGGAGGGCAAAGACACAACAGAGTCAACCAGTACGCACCCCCCCCACACACACACACGAAATTTCAAAAGGCCGCAGAACCTTTTTGGGTCTCCCCCGCAATCGATGGTCCCTTTGTCGCTGTCGGACAACGCGCGATCGTCGACGCGCGACGCCGAAACGCGCCAGGGTGCGTGGTCTCACCCGCGCGCGCGTCTGCCTCCTTTGTGAAGTGCCCCCGGGCCCTGGCGGCGCGCCGCTCCACCTGGCGCCTCTGGGCGTCCACCACCAGGCGGCGGCGCTCCAGGGACAGCAGGCGCTCCTGTTGGCCGGGTGTGTGTGGGCGTATGTGATCATGGGGTCGCGCGGTCAGATGGCGGTTGCGGATCAGTCAGACTGAGTCACGAGGGGCGGGTGTTTTTGCCGCCAGGGGGTGTTGATGAGGTGGATTGCCGTGTGTCCAGCGGCGGGTTTGGGATACGCAATTGTTAAACATGCAGCCTGGTTCCCCTCCAGGTATCTGATTGGGCTGGTGGAAGGCTCGTGCTGTCTAGCTCTGACAAGGGGGATCAGGTAAGGGCTCCGGCGCTGTCGGACTCGCAACTCCTCAGGGTAATGAGGCGGGGAGGCAGCGGCGAGAGCTCTTAGGGCAATGCAAGCGCAGCGCAAGCGGTGGCGCCGCGTGCGCGCGCCGCCCCAGCAGGCCGTGGCTGCCAGGCGGAGGTGCATCGCCAAGTCAGCCGTTGGGTCCGCGGGGGCGAAGCTTGGGACGCCCCTCCTTGCTCCCCACCCTGCCCTGCGACCAACCACCCAGAAACCGAAGTCGCCCTGCTGCTGCACCCTGACAGCATCTGATTGAAACGTGCGCTGGTCGCAAACGCGCCGACGGGTGGCGCCCCAGCAACCGCAGATAGGGCGGTTTCAAGACCGCCCTCTTGGTCCCCTCATCAAAACCCTCTTGCCACGCAAGGAAAAGAACCGACCATGTATGTACCGAAGGAGCCAAAATCGCAGCCAAAAATGCGCACGAGCTTTTTGAGTTGGCCCCCTGTCACCTTGGCGGAGCGGAAGGCGTGGAGCCACATGTTGATGGGCAGGGCCACCTCCCGGTCCAGGCCGGCGCTGAAGCTGCCGGGAACCTGCTCGGCCAGTGCCCTGGGTACGAGTGGATGGGTTGAGCCCGGGGTGAGGGAGGTGGGGGCGAGCCGCAGCGTTGCGAATGCAAAGATACATGGGGGCCATGCGTTGGGAGGGGAAAGTGTACGGGGGCCAGGGGGCCGTGTGGGGGGCAAGGTTTTAGGAGGCGAGGGAGGCGGGCCAAAATACCAATGAAAGTGCCAAAACCATGATACAGAGCGCAAGCACTGTCGGCCGCATCGCGGCGCTCAGCTAGTCGGCAGCAGCAGCAGGCGCATTGGGGCGCTCCGGCACTGCATCAACAGCAGCAAGCCGGTCCCCATCCCGCCCCCCTCCCATGCGGCTGCCCAAACTCACGCCTGCAGGTCTAAGTCAAACAGGCGACGGTGGGCCTCCGGCGGCGTCAGGGGTGGCAGGGCCTCTACGCGCTGCGTCTCGGAGTCCTGGGTGAACTCTGGTCATTTGGGGGAAGGGGGTGGTGGGCAAGCTTGCCCCTTAAGGGGGGCGGTGGAGGGGTGCGCAAGGCGCGAGAGGATTGGGA